TAGTTATTGATTTTTGCAAATAGGCTTTCCTGGAGGCTTGGGCAGATCGCAGTCTTTAGGTGAAGTGTGGAAGGTGATGGATAGTGAGGGCAAGTACATTTTCCCTTTGTTCATCTACATTCTTATTAATAATAATATCTTTCATTTATAACTCCTTTCATCCTTGAGCATCGTGAAGTGCTCTGCAGACGTAATAATGCTGTGTGCAGAGATCCATCACTGAGCCCTGTGGGGGAACACAGCCATCGTCTGGCTCCACTGCTTGGCTGGACCGCAGCTCAGGACCCCACAGATGTTTTTAGGGGAGACAGTTACATGTGCTGAGCCTGGAGTGGGGCGAGGCCCTTTGACCTAACATCCACCTGTGTCACGGTGGGCACTGAGTCTTCAACCACTGTACCAGGTCAGGGCAGCAATGGAGCAATTTTCTCAAAGAAACGCTCCATCTAAGAGCATCCCTCTGCTCTAAAAAATAGGGAGTAAAACAGTAATGAGGCAAGTGTGCCGGGTTGCACCGCGTGTACCTGTGTGTGCACACGGATACTCGCCTGCATCCCGGGGCAGCAGGGGCAGTAATACCATTTTACATGAGGCTGGATCATCCAGGCTTGTAAGCATCTTCCCTGCAAAGCTTTTGTTTTGTTCCTCTCCACTGTAAAAGGTTGAATGTGAAAGAGTAACTCTTTGGGCTTAATAGGTTGGTCAACCTCCAAGAGGAGACTGAGGTTCAGATGGTCACTTGTCGCTTACTGATTATGTGGCCTTGGGCTGGTGGCTTCACCTCTGAGCCTTAGTTCCCTCGCCTGTACGAGAAGACAGCGGAACCCATCTCTGACGGCTGCTGGAGGACTGAGAACAAGCTGTGCTTCTCATGGCACCTGCCTCCAGGAAGCCCTGAGAGCCAGAATCACCATTACTATTCCACAGATGAGGTCATAACCCATCCCGAAATCTGAACCATCTTGAAACCCCATGTGATTCATTTTTGCCGGGCTCTTTTCCTCCACCTTGCTAGATAACACATTATAAAGATGAATGACATGTCAGATGGTTAAAAAGCAAGAGAACAGAGGAAAGGTATGAGAGGGAAAGAAAGGTAAGCTCATCCTTCAGTTTCCTTCCCGGGCGTTTGCTGTCAGGGTTTACAGGTGATTTTTTTGCAAGTGTTGATTGTACAATGTTATTTTTCTGATCACTGGGGCATCATCTGAAATCCATGTTCTCCAGGAAAGCTTATTGTCTCCATCAACAAGGAAACCGCTGGCCCTTCCAAACTGTGTGTTGAGGTCCCATGATAAACCCCTCAGCTCCCTCTGCTAATTAGCAGTTCACATCCCCCCCACCCCAAGCAGCCCATCCAAGGAATTCTGTGAGAGTGTCCATGCCTTCCTCTCCTTTATGGCTTTGATTTTAGAAGTTTTACTTCCCTGTGGCTTCCCAGGTGGCGCGAGTGGTAAAGAACCCGGCTGCCAATGCAGGAGACATGAGAGATGTGGGTTCCATCCCTGGGTCAGGAAGATCCCTTGGAGGATGAAATGGCAACCCACTCCAGTATTCCTTGCCTGGAGAATCCCATGGACAGAGGAGCCTGGTGGACTACAGTCCACAGGGTGGCCAAGAGTCAGACATGACTGAGCGACTTGGCACACACACTTCACTGTGCTCTGGCCTACCCGTGCATTTCAGTTTCCCGGCTGTGCTGAGAAAGCAGACTCTTTGGGGCATGAGCATGCTGTCCGCTTTGTTCCCGAGCCCCAGGCCCAGCATAGGTCATGTCCTGGGCAAGTGGGTGCTCACACGTCCCCTGATGCCAGTGGTGCAAGGGTGCTATTTTGCTGTGTGCCTTGGGCGCAGCTCAAGCCCCACCAGCTCAGCTCGGCTGTGCGAGCAGGATGCAGGCTTAATTACCTCTCCTGATGCTGATGAGGATCAGAGGATGGGTGCGCTGGAATGCTGAGTGGCACCAGCTGCCATTTTCTATTTCCTAACTGTCCCCAGCCTTGTCCATAGGAGGCTAGATTAGAAATGACATCCGGTTATTGCCACTTTTCTCCAGAGACATGTGGCTCATACCTGGAAGTGAACAAGAGTCTTTGCTTCCTGCATGTGATAAAGGGAGAGAGTTCTGTGCTCCCTGCTCCCCTGCTGACCCTCCCTCCAACCGCCCTGCGGACCCTCCGTCCACCTGGGATTCAGGGACCTGACTGCTATTGAACGAGTCTTACCTACATCGGTGTCTCCAGCTTGCGAACCAGAATCTATTACAGAATTCTAGACTAAGGGCTAACAGAGGGGCACAGCGGGGGCTTTCACTTGGAGTCCCCTTTTGCCCCTTGAGGTCATTAATAAAGACAGTCTCTTCCTCCCAGAATCACAATCAGACTCAAAGGTATTGCAGGTTTGATTTCTAACCTCCTCCATGAGGCCAATAGCCCAACAACAGTCTGGTGAACTCTTTGGTTTCCCAGTGCATGTGAAAATTATATGCTTACACCTCACTGTAGTGAAGTGTGTGTACCATGGCATATGTCTAAGGAAAAACGTGCATGCCTTAATTAAAAGTACTTAGATGCTAACAAATGCCAACCTTCTTCTGAGACTTAGTGGGTTGTAATGTTTTTGTTGTAGAAACATCAAAGACCATTGATCCATGGAATAATTATAATATTAATAATAATGAAAACATTTGAAATATTGCAAGAATTACCAAAATTTTGACACAGAGACCCGAAGTGAGAAAAAGCTATTGGAAAAAGAGTGCCTGGAGACTTGCTGGATGCAGGGTCACCACAAACCTTCAATTTGTAAAAACTGAAACATCTGTAATCAGTGGATGTACAGCAAAGTGAGGTGTGCCTGTTCAATTATTCCTAAGAAAATATTCTCGCCTAAAAATTCAGAAAGATAATGTGTTGCCGCATCAGACGTCAATGGCCTCCTCACTCTTTTGCACTCATTCCTGTCCTCTTACTGGACTGTAAAGACCACGTACTCTCAACGCCCAACGTCTGATCCATGGTAGGTGCCTGATGGATGTTGTAGAAAGCCTGGAGAAGGGAAGGAAGGAGTGGGTGGGTTCCACGACACAGACCCAATTCCCCCAGTGAAGGTGGTCGTATCCTAGGCTGAATGTCTGTGATGTCAGTTAGAACAGGCCATTCAAGAAGCATGAGAAGGGAGTGAGGGGAGGGATTGGAACAAAAAAGATTAAAATGCATTCCTTGCTCAGGTCACTAATGCAAGATTTTCTGAAAGACATAGAAACAAAAAAAGAAAAAGGAAAAGACCATTTCTTAATGGGATTTCTTGAAGTTGGCATGCATGAGCCCAAATCTTAAAAGGAGAGCCTGGCCTTTCTGTACAGTTAAGTAATTTTTTTTTTTAACCCTGAAGTTGTTTGGTCTCATTTCTTTAGCTCAGAAAAACCACTGTCTAACATTCCCAGGGGCCAGGCAAGGGCTTCAGAAGCTGATTTATTTGTATGGATCTTAAAGGCCACCCTCTGCCCACCCTCTAACCCTGAGTTCCTAGGAAGGAGAGGAGGAGAATGAACCCCAGTTGTTTTGTCTGCGTGCCAACAGCTTTAGGCAGAGGAAACATCCTCTGGGGCATTCCCAGGGCTCTGACCCCCCAGTCCCTCGGGGTGGGTGGGGTGCAGGCTTCTTCTTGGGAGACTCCAGGGGAACTCTGCTCTTGAAGTAGGACTAAAGCATCGGAACTGGTGGGGTCAGAGGCAGCTGATAGGTTATAAGGACTTAACCAGGCAGCCACACGCAGTTTGTGGATAAGGCGATGAGAAGGTTGGTGGGGAAGAAGGAGGTGCAGGTGATGCTCAACCCAGGTGGATGGGCCATCCCTCCATCTCCAGCCCGAGGCTGTTTGTGAGGCCCTCTTCCTATGTATACTTATGGGTAACCCCCAGTGTCCCTGCAAGGCGCTGCTGCTTGTTATGTTGACTGATTGCAGGCCAGTGACTGTGTTGCAATGGCAGCGGCCACTCATTAGCTCGGGCGGGCCAGACAGAAAGCATCAGCTCATTCCGACCACATCCGCCCCTGGAGGTGAATATTCAACAGGAATTGATCTCCTTAATGAGAACACAGCCCGCGCCGCTTCAATGAGCAGCACTGGAATTTTAAACAGTTAATGATGACAGAGAGTTCAGCACGTGCCCATGTGTGTGCTGGGGGGCATGCGTGTGTGTGAGGACGCTGGCACCCAGATGGTGGGTGGGCGCTCGGCCAGGGCTGGGCCTGAGCCTTGCAGCACGTCTGGGAGAGCAGGGCTGAGCCGCTGGGGGCTGGAATGAGGGAGGCCCTGCTCTCAAGGAAATGCCTTAAGGGAAGTACTCAAGGATGTGCCCGTATGCCTGCTCCCCAGGACAACTGTCCAGAGCCAGTCCAGTGCCCCTTGGCTGTGACAAAGAGTGTGAGTCCCCCGTGATGAAGACGGATGCTGCAGTTCAGGAGGACAGACCTCCCTTACAGAGTAAACAGCTCCCCCTTTCTAAAATGTGGCTGGAGACCTCCTTCCCCAAACCCAAGGAACATAATTAAGAATAGGCTGAAATGGACGAGAAGACATGATAATTGATTGTGGCCTTTTGCCTGGCAGCTGCACTTAATTAACCTTTAGATTCAAATATCAAGTTGTGTCTGTGTGGGGAGGCTGGGGCAGCCGCCGTCTGACCACACTCCTCTCTGCTCACCAAGGGGAGGGTTCAGAGGTCACCTTGGGGCTGGGCCATCCCTACTGACACTCAAACACTGCTCGGGCACCTAGAGATTCTATTCGGATCCTCAGAGTTACGGGAGCATCCAGGGAGGGCTGACACCCTTGCAGTCTGCTCCAATGCTCGGAGTCCTAAAGCTTGTCCATGCGAGTCCATCCATGGGGTTTCTTAGCCATGCTTTCAGAGGACAGCCAAAGGCACAGGCCAGACGCCCCTATGCAGACAGTAAAGGCCCGCCAGTCCTCTCTGGTCCCTCTGTCTCACATACCTGTTTGTCATCATCGCTGAGAAGAGCATCGCCTTTGAGAACAAAGCCCAGCAAATGCGAGGCCTGCGGGTAGGCGCAGGGGTCAGGATGCCAGTCACACTCACTCTGCAAACCGTGGAGGCCAAGGCCCAAGCCGGGCCTCACGGGAGCCGGACGCAGTCTGGCTCTGTGGGTCCTCTGAAGGGGCTGGCCCCAGCGGTGTCACCTCGGCTTCCCCGTCTTTGAGGCTTGTGGCTGAGGGACAGTACAAAGTGTGCCTGGGGCACAGGGCCGGGGGATGCCCCGTGTCCCCGGTCGCTCCCGCCCTCTGGGATCCGCTGGGGGTTGTTCCCCGCACAGCCCAGCCGCTGCTCTTTACTGTATGCCTCTCAGGAGAGCGTGGAACCAGCGGCAGCACAATGGGCGGTCTGACCTCTAGTTGCAGCCCAGAGCACGATTGCTGTCTCTTTTTCTCCCATCTCACTGGTAATCTGGCTTCAAAAGAGGGTCACAGTTTTCTGACCTGCAGAAGGGCCTGTCTAAGCCAACATGGGTTTTGAAGGTTGTTCGTAGTGTTTCCAGCTATGCTGTGTCTGCCCTCACTGGCCACCTTTCAAAACAAGAAAAGAAAAGAGCGAGAGAAAAAAGCAAAAACAAGGCAATTAAAGAAAGAATAAGATTATTCACATTTTCCCCTCTTATTTTCCAACATGTTCTATTCCTTTTAGGACTTTTTCTACAGCAAAAATAACAACCCGGGTTACTAGACTCTTTAATAAGAGAATCGTCACTTTTCGCAAAGGCAGTTTTAGCAGGAATACAGTGGGTCCCAAGGAAACAAGATCTCAGCTCCATGGGACAGCGTGTCACAGCTATAGTTGCAAAGGGTCTGACAGATTTCTCTCCTTTTCTTTAGACCAGTTTTATGGTTTCTGGGAAACCAAAGACCAGCATCCAATTGACTCCTGGTCCGTAATTCATCCATTGCTCCAAGAATGCTTATGTTATCCTTCCTCCTGCTGGGAGCGCTGAGACTGTGATGGGAGCAGCCATCTGCAGGGGTCCAGGGATAAAGAAAAGTGGGGAAACAACTGCCCAAGTGAACATTGACTGGCATCATAAGTAAGGACTCAAGGAAAACAGTATCCTCTAAGAGGGGAGGGACCCAGTGTGGCAATTCTCTCTCATATGTTGAATTTCCCAAGAATTGCCTGGGGAGCTTATTAAAAACAACTATTGCCTTCGTCTGTCGATGGACATCTAGGTTGCTTCCATGTCCTGGCTATTATAAATAGTACTGCATTGATCACTGGGGTGCATGTATTTTCTGAATTATGATTTTCTCAGGGTATATGCCTAGTAGTGAATTTGCTGGGTCATATGGCAGCATGGTAGTTCTAGTTTTAATTTTTTAAGAAGCCTTTATACTGTTCTCCATAGGCTTTCCTGATGGCTCAGATGGTAAGGAATCCACCTACAGGAGATCCGGGTTCGATCTGTGGGTTGGGAAGATCCCCTGAAGAAGGAAATGGTAACCCACTCTGGTATTCTTGCCTGGAGAATCCCATGGACAGAGGATCCTGGTGGGCTATAGTCCATGGGGTCGCAGAGAGTTGGACATGACTCAACAACTATCACTTTCTATTTTATTCACTGTGGTGGATATGCCGTAGTGAGGAAAATCTTGAGAATGGCCTCACGAGAGGTTTGATCCGGATTCCAGGTACATGTAATGATGAGGACACACCTGCCACCCCAGTATTGTGTTACGATACACGGCTCAGTTGACCTAAGGTGGGATGAGTGTCCTGGGTTTTGCAGGCGGGTCCTCTGTTATTGCAGAGACCCTGAAAGCAGAAAATATTCCTCCAGTTGGTGACAGAAGGAGAAGTCAGGGAGCTTAGAAGCACCGGGGGGGGGGGCTGCCTTTGAGGACAGAGGGGATTGTGTGTCAAGAAGGGCAGGGGGTGCTCCAGGGCAGGGAGCTGACAAATAGGGGCCCTTGTCTCACCTGGACCTGAACTCAGACTACCACCTAGGTGAGTGTAGAGCCTCCAGCTAAGAACCCGTGCTGCTGAAAAGCTTGATTTGAAGCTTGCAAGACCCTGAGCAGAGAAACTCACCAGTCCACCTGGACTTCTGAGCCTCACGACTGTAAGGTGACAACTTTAAGCCACCACAGTCTTGGTAATTTGTCAGCAACAGAAAGTTACTCAGGGAATACGAAATGAAGGAAATATTCGCTTGTCCTTTAGGACCTCATAAAACCCAGGAGGCCAGCGACACACAGCCAGCTGAGACGTGATGGCTGAGCGTTTACTAAAGAATGAGCACAAGGAATCATGAAAACCAGGGTGGGGTCCTGCATGCTCGGTGTGGTAGGAGAAGAGGGCACAGTGTCACAGAGAAGGTGGTGCATGGCCTGAGTCTTGAGGACACAGGCGGAGGAGATTCAGGACCAGAGGCAGAGGGTTCTGAACATACCTCTGATGGGTGAGAAGGAAAGTCAGTGTCTCCTACCTGGGAGCCTGGAAATGTGGACATCACACAGATGCCCTTGGAAGTTAGGCAGAGGTCAGTGTAGAGGTTTTTCACATCTCTCCAAAGAGATCAGGCAGTGCCTTGAATCTGCTATGGGGAGCTGGAAGTTGGGAAGCACAGAATGATTGATCAGGTTTTTGGGTCTACTTGGAACTCAGGCACAAGAATTAATTATAATCATGGCCCCTGTCACACTCTTCCAATTGTTAGGGGCACGGCTTTATCCTCATTTTCCCTCCCTCCCTCCCTCCCTCTTTCTTTCCCACCTGCCTAATATAATGCAAACTTTGGAGCACCCCCCCAACACAGAAGCCAGACATTGACCTAGGGCGTTCAGTGCATCCTCTCCTGTCTTCCAGCTCCTATCTACTGATGGATTAATCCATCAATCTACCAGTCTATGCATTGATCTATCTTTCAAATAACCTACGGGTTTTGTCATACCTATTCATAATTTTCAACTGTGTGTTCAGATTTTTCCCTAATTGAGAAGGTGGCATCCTGCTGTTTGTCCTGTTTTGTGTTTGTAGTCGCTGTGCTAAGTTTCATCCTATATGTTGCCTGTAGCCATACCTCATTGGTTTTGATCGCTGCATGTTATTCCATTAAGTGAACACACTGAGATGGATTGATCCATCCTTTTATTCTTTGATCTCTGGGGATTGGAGAGGTTTAGGCAAGAGTTCTCTTAATAGAAAATATGGCATCAGAACCAGGTTGGGAAGGAGAGGTCAGGCTGGAAATGTACGGGTAAATTGGCCGTGATCAGAATGGCTGGTGAAAGATAGTTTCATTCAACTCACATTTAGATATGAGACTTTTTCCTCCCACATCTCCCACTGGGACTCATATAGAAAGAAGCCCTTTTCACTGAGCCCTGGGGCCCAAGAGAACAGAGCAGAGCCAGTACCTCAAAATGCCAGTGTATTCCGTGCACCACAGAAGTAAAGCCATAATCATCTCCTGTATGGACATACAGACAGACACCCTCTGTAACCTGCCGCTGGATGGATGTAACCTGGCATCTGGATGAACTGTGAGCCCCCATGGTGACCGCTCCTCTTTATAGGAAAGGGCTGCTGATAGGCTAACTGTCTTGAGATGGAGAAGCAGCAGGATCAGAAACCTCACAGCCTAACAGGCAAGAACTGGAGCTGAATTCTGCACCAGGTTTTCCTGACCCTCTTCTACTGGCATCACCTGCTGCAGGTACAGATTCCATCTTGTGGATCTAGGAGGGCACAGGCCCCTCCCTGACTCCCGAGGATGCTCCAGAGCCCGCCTAGATGTGGCCCCCTGATTTATGAGGAGGTGGAACAAGGGGCGTTTCTGATCAGCTCTCTTTAAAAATATGTCTCAAAGCAGGGTGGTAGAAGAGAGGTTTTAAATTTTTAATTTTTATTAGAAGTTATCCTTACATTTAATTTCTTCTGTCAAGTGGACCATTATGCTTACAATGAGTAATTATCTTTATCATCCTAAAATACTTCATCTTCAAAGAAAATGTTTAAAGCTTTGTTAGAATGCTTAAATATGATATGCCGTACAGAGTTTCATTTTAATGAAATTTGGCCTTTTGGTGGGGCTGGCATAAATTGGATGTGTACCTCCTTTAAAGTAGGTTTTCCTAACCATTGAATTATTTTTAAAAATTCATTTTTGAGGTATTGTTCACTCACCAAAAAAGTGATTTAGGTCATGAAAAAAGGGAAAGTTCTTGTATTTTTTCTTTCCAAGTTCTAGAGAGGTTTTATCTTGCTTAATTAACTGCCTGTGTGTGTGTGTGTGTGTGTGTGTGTGTTCCCCAAACAGTATGGGGAAGCAGTCAGCTTCTCTCAGAAAAATGGTTCCAGGGTCAGTCCTACCTCTAACTAGAATAGCTCTGGTGATGAGAGCCACCGCCTACCCTCTCTCTACCTCTGTCCTTGTTTGCACAGTGAGGGGTGGGTTAGATAACACTGGTGTGAATTCCTGTGGGAGCTGCTAACCCAGCGCAGGTGGAGGTAAACACCCCAGCTACCAGAAGTGAGCTATCTGGGAGTCCTGGTCAGGCTGCTGAGATGCCTGGGGTGCTATGGGAAAGCCTGACTGCGAAATTTCAAGATGAGGAGATCTCTCATTTCCGTCTTTATTTTTAACTAGTTTGAATTAGGAGTTTGTTTCTGCCATGCGCAACATGCAGCTTTATTAAAGAAAACTCTTCAGTGAGAGATGTTTATGTTGAATTGTTTTACATTGATCCCAATTAGCAGACGGAGTCACATTTCCCCTCTTTGTTTTATCAAGTGCTTCTACCCCAAATCTTCTAGGGTTCTATAGCCGTGTGGGCTCTCAAAGCCAAGCAGGAGGTTGAGATTGATGCTGAAGGCCTGGGATAACACAAAGGATGCTGATGATGGTGATGACGACAATGGTGATGATGACTTTGTCTAGACCAGGGGTTCTCAAGCTGGACACTATTAATATTTTGATGCAGGCAATTCTTTATTGTGGAGGGCTGTCCTGGGTAGTGTGGAATGTTTAACAGCATCCCTGATCTCTACCCTACTCTGTAGATAACAACAACAACCACAGCTCTGTAGATG